ATTATTATCTGGAAAAAATTACTTCAATATAAATGCTGTTGCCCATACGAACAAACAAGTCTTTTACAAAGACCCGTTGCTTCAGTTTCGATTAGACCTGTATATTGTGATGTATTGGTATGATTACGAATCATTGTAAACGAGCTTGTTCGGCACTGCTTTTTTAAATGTACTTTATCGTAATCAATAACTCTCTTCGTAATTCCGCTACGAGTGGCACTCATCTTATTGATCACTCAAGTGGTAGTCAGTTAGGCCCACAAAACGGTTTGTGATGACAGGCGCACATACGAATCAGGAACGAGCAACCAGATGAGCTGACAAGATTGATAGACCTAGAATGGCTGATTGCTTGACAGGGTTGCTTAAAATTACACTTATCGGCCATTCATGAGTCAGCAAATTTAACAAATAGTTTCGAAATGCCACACTTTTATAATGACAACTAAACTACCATATAAGGCCGAAAAATCAATCATTGCAACCTGCCACGGCTCCCTGGTCACGCTGATTTTGGTGGTCCTGATAATTGATGATTAATATTCCATGTGGCTCGAAGTTTTTCTGATGCGTGTTGTAGCTACATCTGTCGTCCCAACAAACTTCCGAGGATTATTGGCCCATTTCGGTATGCCGGAAGTCCTCGTTGCAGGTAACCGTCCACAGTTTACATCTTCACAATTCGGTGTGTTCCCTTCGTCAAATAACATCTGCGATTTGCGTACCTCAGCGTGTCACCCGCAATCAAACGGCTAAGTGGAACGATTCATTGACATGTTCAAACGTTTTCTGATCAAATTACAGGGGGACGGTAAACCACAACAGTCCATTGACGCATTGCTCTTCACTTACCACTGGACTCCGAATTCAGCCACCCCGGAACAGGAGTTGCCGATCGAACTGTTTCTAGGACGGCCAGTACGGCTGGTTCTCGACGCCATGATTCCCAACGAAAAAGATATTGTATAACCACACATGCCGCTAAAAATCCTGATTTCACGTAGAAACATTTTAAGGCAGGAGATCATGTTTATGTATGTAATTTTCGCAACGGATTGCTGAGCTGCATTCCCGGAGAGATTGTAAAACGAGACGGACCAGTCACATACTAAGTCAGAGTGGGGCACTTCGTATGGACCACCTCAGACCTAGAACCAAGTGACAAAACCCAACGAAGCACTCCTCTAATTGTATACCCATGGATTTACTGATGGACTACCGATTTACGAATATAAGTCCCGCAGATTTCAGTACCGATACCAAACTGACGGGTGGCACTCAACTCGAACTCGAGCTCCAATAAGTAGGCTCATCATCAGCTCCAAGAATTGAACTTATGAGTCAGCAGTGGTGTGATCAAGTTCATTCTTTTGGGAGGAGGGAGGTGTGATAAGAGCTCAAATCCGGTCACAGCTCGCTTGTATTGGGTGTCACGTGACTGTTCGGTACTGTTATCGACCTTACCAGTATCGACAGGCCTAATGACTATTGATTTGTATTTCACCCATTGGCCCAGTGAATCGTGTTCACATAATTTCATTCAGCCAGCTCCAGTTCAGTGACTTGTGTTTTTTTCAATCGGGGGTGTACAGTTATAACAAGGCGACCAATAAGAAACCAACAAATAGACGGACTGATAAAACTGAGAGACCTGGACCTGGACTCGACAGGGTCGTCGTGATTGGTGAACTCAATTTTGTGCACGAAAGTTCGTCCAGTCGATCTTGCCGTGCACATCTCGTTCACCTGTCATGTACCCGAGTGTATGCTGACTGTTTCCGACCCGGAACACGAGTTCTCGCTATCGCACTCGTACGCGGGGAGGGGATGAGGAAGGGACGATCTTTGTGGATAGCTTTGACATTACTGCTTCGGTTGCAATTCGTGATGTTGTACGCTGATCCCCGCCACCTCAGCACACACCCCACCCCACGGGCTCTCAATTCGTAACCAGTACATGAAGCGACCAGCAAAACACAGGCGAAGCAAAGGAATGTGAATGAGAATGTACTTGGTTGAAACTGAAACGTGCAGAACACAAGAACAGACCAGATCGTGAAAAGCACCTGATATGCTAATCACTTTCACGGGAACTTGCATCATTCGGAACTGGAGGATTGGTTGTGAGGAATCAAGGATATCACAGAGCATGTGCGTATGTGTGAGTGTGTGCATGTATGTATGCATGCTATCTGAGTGAGACATCACAAATGCAATCAAGTCGATCGACCGTGTGCCATCACACTGGGTAACGAAGACGAATGGGGTATATGACCCAAACAGGAGATTGGATACGAGGGGGTCAAGTCGAGACTTTTGTAAATGCGTATATAGTGTACAATAATTTCTTGCTCGCTTGGGACGAGACAGAATTCCAAACTCAGAGCGACATCCAATTCGGTTTGAAGCAAATCACGACGGGAAATTTTGAAAATGTTTTCCAGTTCCTGAAATGCGGAGGAAGAAAGGAATCGACAAAACCAAGTGTGAGGACCCTTAAGAATACTCCAAATACTATGTTTTTTTTATTGTTTCTGTGATGGAGACCGAGTGATATTGAGTGACCAGACTTACTAAAATGACAGCTATTTTTGGCAACTACATCATTTATTGCCAATTTCTGTCATCCCATCGATTTCCGCTCCACCGTAACTGCCAGTAACATGCCTCTACAATCTAGGGGAAAAGTTACGTGCTTTTTTGTCGCCTTCATCCCTATACATCAGAAGTAGAGAGTAAGCTTACTGCTCACTCGGGTATCGGATCAGACAGTCTTTCATGTTGTCTATACACGATACAGTAGAACCAATATTTGCAAGCTTGTTGCAGGCAAACAACCTTAATTATCTCAACTCTACCCTCCAGGATTGTTTTCGGTTGGAGACATTTCGAATTTGACTGCTAGTTTCATGGAAGTAGTGAAGGAGCGTCCGAAAGCCTCAGCATGATCGGGGGTGGATGTCCCGGGTTGTGACTGGCCACCCTTCCTTTGCGCCTTGCTAAATACTTCTACACAATCAAGCGTCTTAAACAGTCTCTGCTGAGGAAGCCCTACTCACTCACTTCCC